CGGTGTCGTATGCCTTTTTCACGTCCAGGAAGAAGCAGTACGTCGGCTTTCCCGCCCTCTTTCTACCTTGGATGATTCTCCCTACCGTGAACACGTGGTCTACGCACCCCCTCTTCTTGCGGAAACCTGCCTGGCCCTCACTAATGCTATGTTCCTTCTCCAATACTCCCACCATCGGTTCTCATAGCCGTGCATGCGGTAGTCGTTAGACCATTGACCTCGCATCTCTACAAAGCCGGGACGGAGCTCGCCGGGTTCTCACCGGACCAGGCTCTCACATGACCAAGCGCGAAGCGCCGTGAGATATTCGGCGAGTCGCATGAAGGGTGCGCTGCATCCTGTTAAGCTTTTTCGGCATCTTATGCTTACTGCCTTGCGTACGGATGACAGCTGCGTATGACTTAATTTACTTTCTGGTGCTTTCACTTCCAGAGACAGTTGTAAGCACTGTGTAACTGCCTCGAGGGTGCTTGACCATTTTAACACAACGTGGTGCGATCATCCCCCTTGCGCGGAGTGAGGGTTCTCCACCCCGCACAACATGATCTGCTCGACCACCATTATGTTTACCGCCATAAAAAAAAACCGGAGGTAAAAAAAAAAACGGTAACCTGGTTGCCGAGTTCACGAAGTGAATTGGCTTGTTTTACAACGTTGTTGCCAAGCGACGAAAACCCAATCCCGATGGCAAACACCGGGGGGAGGGGGGTCAGGGGGGGGGCGTTGTATTGCATGCGCTGCCTTAGATGTTCGATCCACGGTCCTCCAGAGGACGGGGCATTCGTTGTTCCACGGGACGGAGGATCACGGATGGCCGATCGTTCCTTCCACAAGGGGGGAGGTTGGTCTTGGGCGTTTAGTTTTTCGCGCACGGTCTTGGTTGGCCCTTGGTATAGGCTGGAGGTGGGACAACGGGGGGAGTTGGTTTCGGGGGGTTTCCATGCGAGTGTGTTGGCTATCGTGCGAGTGCGCGGGATTCGTCACTTTTGTGCTTCACCCCGTTTTGGTTACATGGTGTTACGTATATTTGCCCGTGGTTTTTTTCGCATGTTTCATTTTTCCATGTGAGCACTACCATGGGATTGTTGGCATGTTCGGAGGAAACCACGGGGCGCCCCCCCCCCCCCCCCCCCCCCCCCCC